TCTTAGTGATAGGATCCTCAAGGTCAGAGTCAAGCTTGCCAGATGTGAACCCTGCACAAGACACATCCTATTCAAACCATGGTATAACTGGAGCTCAGAGAGCTTGGGAATTCTCATCCACAGAAGTCATTGTATAACACCACAGTATGGGTTATATCTCCATAGGGTCTAAGAACCTCCTACTAATAAGTCTTCAACACTTGGGGATATGGAAGGGAGTGATCAGGGTCTACTACAGCAATGGGCTTATCAAAAGTCCTAACATCAGCCCTTTAAATTCTACCTATCTTGTCTCTCAGTTTACAGTTTCAGCAGCTTCCATCCCAAGGCTCACAGGCAAAGTACATGGCAGAGGACGTGGCTAGGACAGAAAGTTCTGTCCTCCATGACAGAAATGGACATTCCTGGTCACGGGACCTCCCAGGACACAGGCTGGGTGGGAGCTGAGGGTGCTGCATCTGGGGGAAAGTTCCTGTCTGTCACCATTTTGAGTGATTGGAGCAAAGCATGTGACATGTGACAGTGAGAGTTCTTGTGCCTGTAGCAACCAAGATCTGAAAAGTGTCATCAAAGTCACACATGTGTTCCCTCCTTGGTGATCAGTGTGGCTCTCTTGTCCATAGCTGGAGACTTCCTGATGCCTGCACGGACACTCTGTTGGTGGAAGAACCTGAGAGTGTGACCTACAGTTGCAATGGTTATGGCAAGCCTGCCTCTTGGAAAAATTTTAAACCATGTGTTAAAAATAGGTAGAAGCGCTCCATTTATCCAGGTGTCAGTGATAGAGGAAATAAGGGAGCATGAGAACACAGCGCAAGCTGGTAAGCTTCTACTCAGAGCTACCTGTTTTCCTCATAGAAATATATGAACATTTTGTTCAGATGTTCCATCTTATTTGATAATTTTTAATTTTTCAGATTTACTTTGTGCTGAAAAATCTCCGCCCCTTATTCCTCTAATGCTATATATTTCTCATACACCTAAAGATATAATTTCATTTTTTTAAAAAAGAATACAGCTTTCTAGAGTTTGGGTTTTTTTGTTCTGACTTAACTCAGTTGATCCCTTACATGTTAGTTGTCCTGAAATTCTTGGAAACTCTTGATTATTTGCCCACTTTCAGAATTGAGTTATGAGGCCAGAAAGATGGCTGAGTGTCTGAGAGAACAGGTTGCTATGTCAGAGGATGTAGGTTCAACTGCCACCATTCGCATGGCTGCCAGGGAGCATGTGTGACCCCAGTTCCAGAGGATCAACACCCTCTTCTGGTCCCCACAGGCACTGAACATAAGTAACTCACAGCATACATGCAGGCAAAATACCCATATGCATTAACACAAAAAAAATAGTTTTAAAATTTGAGTTATTTTAAAAAAATGTTCAAAGGAAAGACAGGGACAAAAAATGGAACAGAGATGGAAGGAAAGGCCATCCAGAGACTGAACCACCTAAGGATCCATCCCATCTGCAAACACAAAACCCTCATGCTATGACTGATGCCAAGAAGTGCTTCCTGACATGAGCATGGTATGACTGTTCTCTGAGAGGTTCTACCAGCACCTGACCAATACAGATGCAGATACTCACAGCCAATCATAGGACTGAGCCTAGGCACCCCAATGGAAGAGCTAGAGGAAGGACTGAAGGAGCTGAAGGGGATTGCAACTCCATAGGAAGAACAATATCAACCATCTGGACCACCCAGAGATCCCAGAGACTAAACCACCAACCAAAGAGTATACATAGAGGATCCATGGCTCCAGATACATATGTAGCAGAGGATGGCCTTATCTGGCATCCATTGGAGGGGAGGCCCTTGGTCCTGTGTAGGCTTGATGCCCCAGTGAAAAGAGATGCTAGAGCAGTGAGGCCCAAGTGGGCGAGTGAGTGGAGGAGTACCCTCATAGAGGCAAAGGGGAGGGAGGGAAGGGGGGGTGGAATGGAGGGTTTGTGGAGGAGTAACTGGGAAGAGGAATATAATTTGAAATGTAAGCACATAAAGTGATTGATAAAAATACAATAAGACAAGAAAAAACTGAGATTTTTAAGATATTAAATTAGAAGCAGCAGATATGAGTAAGTAAATAAATAGTATTGTATTGTTTCATTTGTATAAGTATCCAGATGATGAGACTCATAGAGACACATAGTCTCTATGAGTTAGTAGATTGTGACGGACTGAGTCAAGAGAAATATGTTGTTATAATGTCACAGACTTGGGTTGTAATATGAAAAAAAATCTGAAGACAGATACTAGTAATATGTATATACTCAATAAAGAATATTTATATGGTAAATTTTATGTCACACATATTAAAAAGCAGGGTTCTTCATTCCTGTGCTTGTACACTGATTCTGCCTACCCAGGTATAGGCAGTTGCGTAACCTGCACAGCTTTAGAACTGGCATGACTGGGGCCATTACTAGAAATGAACAACTGACAAGAGAGACATGTACAGAAAAGCTGAGATCAGGTGGGTCACACATTTGGACGAAGACTCAGCAGCAGCCGCCCAGAAACTCAGTGGATTGATTGTCTATATAGGGCACAGAGGAGTAGATGGGCGAGCTCCTCTCAGTGGGAGGTCTCTGTAGGGGAGCAGTCTCAGTCTGCCCTCTCCTAGATGAGGAAGCTGTGGTTGGTATTGTCTGTACACCATGGTTTCAGCTAAAGGTCAACCTTACATTATCATCCATACTTGGGCCAAGTGAAGGCCTTCTCATGACCCCAAGACACTGGCATCCTTGACACAGCCACGTGCGTGTCAAAAATACACTCATGACTTTGTCCACTCCACACAGGTGGTGAGCTTAGGAACAATAATCTTGAATAGCTGTCTGCAATCCCATGATACTCACACATGAGGTTTTCTGCCTGTTTTTACGATGATTCATCTCACATTTTCCGAGTTGCTTAATCCTATGCAAGAAAATTATGGTTCCCTGAGCATAATATTTTATAAAACTTCTGAGTCAGATTTTGCCACCTTTGTTAATAATAGCATGTTTTCAAACGGAAACTGCCCTATAGTTAAAAAACAAAAACAAAACAAGAGTTTTGCTGTCATCCGCCAGGGATCAGGATGTACGGATTATTCATGGATTATTCATCATGTGTTTTTCTTTTCCTCCAATTGCCCATGTCTCTTTTCATTTCTTGCCAGTATACTGAGTAGTTAAGCTTCAGCTTTCATGTCACTGCATTGTCTTCTGCCACGTGCAGCATGGTTATGTGTCATTGGTGACTGTCAACTTCATGATTGGTTTGCACATCTTACCCCCTGAGTTTTATCGCATTTTTAAAAAAGAGACTGTCAAGAAATTTATTCTTAATTCAGAAATGTAATCAAAGTTGTCAGATCCTTTCTTTATTGCCTCCAACTGAAATAGTTCCTGGATTTTTCTAAAAAACAGGAAATAGACCCAGGGTGGGGGTCTAGGGTTGAGCAGGCTCAGTAAGCAATTTTATGTTCGCATCAATTCAGTGTGACTCACTGGTCTCCTGAGGGAAATAATCACTTTTCCGGAATAGATAGGAGCTTAGTAAGAGATCAGAGTGCAAGCATATAACCCATGTGTTTTACAGAAAATATTTATTTTATGCATTTTCTTTTTATAAGGACATGAGTGGACTTTCTTTTGTTCCTTCCATACAGTGCTACCCAGAGTATTGAAGTGGGACGATTGGAAATATGTTTTCAAGTAGACTTTCTTCCAGAACTACCTTCATATGGTTCTGAATGCAAAGTGGACCACTGCAGGGGTGTTCTCTTCTCCCAAGAACTTGGCCACGACATCGGCTTTTGCATCTATGTCTGAGTCATGAATGCCATAATGAACCTTTTCTGTCATTCTCACAGTTGCACAAAGCTGTGTTTCTAAACAAGAAGGCAAGTCTTCCATCTTGTCTCAGGATACCAGTGATGCCACCAGGGGCAGTGAGTATTCACCACAGCCCATTGCTATGCTGAATTGTGCCAGAGTTTCCGGTATTAAAATACCCTGGGTTTAATTTTATGTTGGATTCCGTGACATACATTCAGCAAGGAAACCAACACTATCTCTTGTTCTTTCAACAGTGATTCCTATCACCATTTAACTGTTGTATTGCCCCCATCCTTTAAAATGCCTCTGCACCTCACCTTGCCTTCCATATATACTCCCAAACTCATTTCACTGCACACACAGACTACTCAAAATGCTGCACCTAAAAAACCACAGATATTAGACACTGGCACATCAATGCTCATAGTTCTATCCCTCACAGCTACTTTTGGACATTAATGTGCCCCCAGTTATTATTGTTCCAGGGCTGAGGTTTGACTCACGAGTCTCACTCTTGCTAGGCCAGTGGTCTACAACACAGCTACACCTTCATCTCCATTGATTCTTCGCTTTCTATTTGGAGCTTCCTTGTGTTCAGTTGTCTCCTGTGACTTTCTATACATGTGACTGCTCCTTTGCATGTAAATGAGAAGCTATATAAAATTCGATGTAAAACAGGCAATTTCATGGGCTTCTGTGAGGTAGCATGCCAATCAGTGTTAGCACCACTACACTGTGCCTAGGAAAATTGGATCAGGCCCTGGTTACTCTCCGAGCATAAAAAGATCTCTTCCCAACTCTACTCTGGATTTTGTTTGAAAATAAAAAGTCCAATCATGCTCTTATAAAAAGAAAATGCTTAAAATAAATATACTAGAAAACACACTTTGTTTGCAAAGGGTACATAATAAAGCCAGAGGGTTGATAAAGATTTACTGAGACTTAGGACACAGAGAAAGGTCTCTGACATTGCGTCCCTGTGCAAAGTACCTGGGAACATTACCAATGTCCCCAACTGAGCAGAGGGAAGGGAGTTGACATTTAGAGATAATTTTTTTTAAAAAGGGGTGGGGGCAGAGCCTTTTGTAGCTTAGCCATACCCATGGTACATCCAGCTAGAGAAGATATAAATGTGCAAGTCAGCTCATCTCTCAGTGAAGGTCCTTCTCGACAAGATGAAGTCCTCTGTCTTCATTCTCTCTCTGCTCCTCATTCTGGAAAGACAGGCAGCTGTGGTTGGACAGTATGGTAAGTATAGGGATGGTGGCTAGAGGGAAAGTCACTCAGGGAGAATGTCTTTAAGGGTGCTCTGGGAGTAAGCAGATCCTTTCATAGGGTGATGATTTTTTTTTTTTTTGATGAGACCTACTTCTTCTCTACCAAAATCCAAAACCCTTGTGGGAACATCAATTGTTTTATGAGGAAATTTTAGAAATAAGACTTGGAAGAACTGTGCTGGTTATGTAACTTAAACATTCTCATTATCAATTACCAGGTGCGACAAAAGGTCACTTTCAGAGCAGCTCCACAGGATTTATGCTTGGTCAGAAAGGCCATCTCAATTTCGGGATCAAAGGAGGAAGTGATGAAGCAGCTGAAGAAAGCATTTTCATGCAATCCCAACACCGGGTGTTCGGCCAGGATGGTAGTGACATGACACAGACACGGGTTTCACAAGAGCATACAGCTGTAAAAGGGGCTGCACTTTGTCGTAATGGACAAGTATCCCAACTGAAATCCCAAGAATCCCAAATAAAATCCTTTGGACAAGTAAAATCCAGTGGTCAACTGAAATCTGGAGGATCATCCTTTGGGCAAGTTAAATCCAGTGGGTCCCAAGTAAAATCCTTTGGACAAGTGAAATCCAGTGGATCCCAAGTAAAATCCTTTGGACAACTGAAATCCAGTGGATCCCAAATAAAATCCTTTGGACAAACAAAATCCCAAAGTGGTCAACTAAAATCATATGGGCAACTGAAATCCAGTGGATCCCAAATAAAATCCTTTGGACAAACAAAATCCCAAAGTGGTCAACTAAAATCATATGGGCAACTGAAATCCAGTGAATCCCAAGTAAAATCCTTTGGACAAGTAAAAGCTTACGGACAGACGAAATCCCAAGGATCCCAGGTCAAATCCTTTGGACAAGTGAAGTCCCAAACTGGCCAAATGAAATCCTATGGACAAGTAAAATCCCAAAGTGGCCAAATGAAATCCTATGGACAAGTAAAATCCCAAAGTGGCCAAATGAAATCCTATGGACAAGTAAAATCCCAAAGTGGCCAAATAAAATCCTATGGTCAAAGAAAATCCTATGGTGAAGAAGCTCAACTGAGCTCTTTTGGCCAACTGAAATCCCAAGATGCTCAACTAAAATCCTATGGTCAACAAAAATCCCCAAAACAATCCTCCTTTAGCCAAGTAAAATCTCAAAGTGCCCAACTAAAATCCTATGGCCAACAAAAATCCCTCAAAGGTTTTTCTCAACAAACTCAACATAAAGGATTTGCCATGGATGAAGATATGTCACAAGTGCGGAAACAATTTAGTGACGATGACCTCTCTGTACAACAGAAGTCTACTCAACAGATGAAAACAGAGGAAGACTTATCCCAATTTGGACAACAGCGACAATTTGGACAAGAACGCTCACAATCCTATAAAGGATATCTTGAGAAATACAGAAAGAAATTACAAGAACAACAACATCAAAATTTTAATCAGGATAGCTATTTTACAAAGGGAGGGGCAGGCCTTTATCAAGCTCAACTTAAGGGATAATATATTCACTGACCAACTAAAGACCAAGACCAATATCAAGGTATGTTTTTACCAAGTAGGAAAGATATTCATCCCAAATTTTTACTTGTGGTATCTAAGGAAGCTCTGGGTCCATTATGAAATTGATACTCTTTTTTTTTTTTTTTTTTTTTTTACTATCAGTAGAAGTATCATTGTTACAAACTTTTAGAAAGATGAAGAGCAGCCCCTGGTAAAGTGAGCACTTGTACAGTAAAGGAAGAGAAGCAAACTAGATTAACAATTGATCCTGAATTACTACATTGAGGAAGCATTTTTCAGTGCTTCTCTGAACACAGTTTATATTATTAAATGTGTACCCCATACTATCATATTTAACATTTCACGATGTAATCTTGTTTGTTCTTACACTTTGACTTGGTATTAAAAAAAATCGGTTTCTTGCTTATATTGGCATAAGGTATTATTGCAGATGAGCCCCTTCTCCACACCAATGAGTGTTCTTGAGTCCCTGTGGCCTCCACTTTCCATCACAAACCATGGGGTTAGGGATTAGCTGCTTTTTCCACCAGATGGAAGATATGATTACAAAGATCTGTATTTGGAGCAGGCACTATATTCAGTTGAATGACCAATGATGAGCCTGTTAAATTCCGATGGACCGTTCAAACTTGTAGTCATCTTAGTAGGCCTAATTAAACTTAAGTTGGTCACAAAACAAAACAAAAAAATCCAATATGATTGTGAGAAATTACTTTTATGGAGGAATGGAGGGGATCAGGATAACTAGACTGGCAGTAATTAGAGCACACTATGTATGTGTATGAGATTCTCAAAGAACCTCATAAAAGGGTTATGAATTGTGTGGTTTTGAATCTGCGGTTGTGATACAGAAAGACCTCAAAAGTGAGCACAGTGTATTAAGAGTCCATAGGGTTGCTGCTGAACATTTGTGACATAGGAAGTGAAATCTGAACCCCAGAAGAAAGACAATATTCATTGCCTTGTTTGCATTAAGAAAGGGAAAGCAACAAAAACCATGGACACACTTGGGGTCCATTGATTGGAGTCATTAGTTGCCGAGCACCCCAATTTGTAGAAACTGGTTCTGGTAAAATTGAAAGGGGCAGAAATCCATTCATCTACGTCTCAACTTCTGACTACCCTCATATCACTGACACTCCTTCTTGTTCTAGGACTCGCCTCACCAGAGTGAAGTCTATGATGCCTTCCAGATGCAGACTTCAATGTCATCCCAGATCACTGGTTCACGGATAACCCTCTACTCACATTTGCTTTTCTGTAGGACTTCTGACACTGGAGCTTCCTCAAACATTTGCTTTCCAATAAAAAGATAAATTTCTGCATCACTTGCTCTGGCTCACTGAGATCTGATTCCTACAGATGTCTGGGTTTGGGAATATTCTCAATGGGCAATTCCAAAAGGAAGAGACAGTTGTGTAGCATTGGAAAAAGTAGCAATGGAATCCACATTTGTAGATGTCTGGGTTATAAAGAAGTTGCTAGAACTATGCCAGTTGCCCTGTGAGCCACCTAAAGTCAACCAACCTTAAAATGCCTCATGATGCTTTTTCTAGTAGGCCTTTGGAAACTGACAATCAGAGTCAAAAGGTCATGGGCCCAAGGAAGTTAGTTTCCAGTTCCAACACCACCATAGAAACATCAATTTTCAGGCTGGAGAAATGGCCACTAAAGACTGGGCTCACAACCAAAATTATAAGAAACATCACATTTCTATTAAATTTGTTTTTCTTTCTATCATAAGCCTACCATTTGCATATGGGAAGTTTCTTCCAACTGTCTTTAACTTCATGAAATCAAATAAGGCTATCATACTTCTGTGGTTCCACAGCCTAGGAATTGGGCTGACAGGTTGCTTATTAACACATTTGATACTTATGGAAAAAGAAGAGTGTTGTTTAATAAGACTTGCCCCTGGTACCACAGACACAGAGAAATATGTGAAGGTCACAGAGCCACTGTTACTTTTATTCTGGAAGGTTTAGTCACTTCATTAGGTACAAAGAGGAAGTTCTCCTTTGCTATATATTCAAAAGGTTTGGGTACCACCTCTGGATGAAAACACAAGAATTCTTCTTCAATCTTAAAGCAGGATAGCTCTAGGGAATTAACATGTAAGAGAGGAACAATATCTCACTCAGACACCATAGGCTATCAAACAAAAAGCCCCATGCCAAGTATAGGTTATCTCTTTTTGAGTTGTTGGCCACTGGGATCACACACACACACACACACACACACACACACACCAATACTATTGCCATTGCTCCTAGTTACCCTCTACAACTAACTGTTGGACTCTAAGATCCAAAACCAGGTGACGCTCTCCCCCAGAAACACTCACGGACGGGATTTGATGCAATAACATGAGGTTTATTGATAAGATGTTAACCAGTATACTGGGGTTCCCCTATACACAGACAAGAGGAACTCCAAGACAAAGTTGGGAACAATTTTTATACAGAGTTCATGAGGAAAACCACAAAGGCTGACCTTCCCAGGTCTGGTCTCTAGGTGACTCAGATTAGCTTCCTGATTACCTCTCATCTTGGTTCTCTTGGAATGTGTCTGTGTGCTCTGGGCCTTCCTCACCCGCAGGTGGGTTCCCTCCCCTGTGGTCTGAGGAATGTTAATCAGCCTCTCCCTTTTTCCTCTGAATGTTAATCTAACAAGTGTCTCTGACTAAGGAATGTGCCCCTCCTGGAATGTGTCCTGGGACAGTGGGATTCTTTCATTTTTAAGTTCAAACCGAGACCCAAAAGTCCTACACAACTTAACGGTAAGATTCTATCACTGGGGCTGGAGAGATGGCTCAGTGGTTAAGAGCACTGACTGCACTTCCAGAGGTCCTGAGTTCAAATCCCAGCAACCACATGGTGGCTCACAACTGTCTGTAATGAGGTCTGATGCCCTCTTCTGGTGTGTCTGAAGACAGCTACAGTGTATTCATAATAAATAAATAAATAAATAAATAAATAAATAAATAAAAAAAGATTCTATCACTGAAGACACCACATATCTGAGTCATGGGACACAGAGAAATCAATCCGTGTACTGACCTGGAAGCTTCATCCTACTGGCTCATTTTCACAGTGTTGAAAGGTATTATGCATGCTTACTAGGGAAGAAAAGTCAACAACATTGTTATACATCCACACGTGACTTAGAACAGACCACACCAGACCAAACGTTTCCAAGTGGGGTTTATTCTGAAGATAGGACTGGGGCGGGGGGAGAAGCAGAGGAAGAAGAGATCGAGGTCAGGGGGTTCTGCCTGTTTTATATAGGCAGAGATCAGGGGGTTCTGCCTGTTTTATATGGGCGGTGATGTAGCCTCTTACAGGTAAGGGTGGGAGGTAGCCAGGTGAATTCTGGGAATGTATGGTGATTGTCTTGGCAATGATGTAGGGGTCGCCTAGATGATGTGATGTCCCTGGGATTGGAGCCTGACACCAACATACTTCCCATTTTCTTATTATAAGGAGAAGAAAAAAGGGGAGGGGAAGCCGATGGTGAAAGGGGAGTAGGGGTGCTGTGTCTCTTAAACTACTTCCTGCTGTGTAGGGGTGTAGTCCATTTTGGGGTGTAGCTGACTTTCACCATTGGGGTCCACTTGGTAGATGTGTGCATCATGTTCCTCTGTGGACAGCAGATGGTAATCCTGTAACAGGAACTGATTAATAGTTTGGTTAGAAATAATAACACCAGGAGGGTGACTAAAAAGGGTGTTACAAAAAAAGAGTATCTATTGTATCTATTTCTATATCTTTTTTTTAAAATCTCAGAACTGGAGATCTCACGTTCCCTAAAAACAGCATTCTTCATGGAGAAACCAACAAAGACCATCTTCTTTAGCTGTCAGGACATCTAGCTCCCATAGGTTCTGAAGCACCACAACTGGAATCCCATGGGTCTTGTATGTAGACAAGAGTGTCTTGCAGTGTTGGTAGAAGAAATGGTTGGTCTGTGATCCTAGCATATGTATCTGACAAGACCAATATGGGCAGCCCCCATAATTATCTGCCAGTTTCTACAATAATCTTCTATCTGGTCAAAGAGAAAATAAGTATAGAGAACATGATATTTAGATGGGACAACAGATATAGGGATGATAGCAATTTGGATTAGTTCTTGGCATCTGGCTATGGAGCAGTTTTCTGATCCTGTTTGGAAAGACTGTTATCTGTAAGGGGGTCTCTTAAACCACAAATCTCCAGATGTAAGGGCTGACCTGGATGGAAATAAGCAGCAGGAGGAGGAGGACGAGAAACCCATGTCTAGTCCAGTGAGGTCAACTTCGGCATCTGGAGTGGAATCTCATTTTCTGGGATTGAGGACAAGATGGGTGATCTCAATGTCCTCTGGAGCTTAATAGAGCACAGTCCTGTTAGAGTTAACATGTATACAGAGGAATCAATTTTAGGTGGAGGGATGAAAGGCTTGAGGTGAGACAGGTGGACCCAATGAGAGTCCCTCGAGTTTAGCAGCTGTAAGGGGTCACAAGAATTACCTTAAAAGGGCCCTGCCATTTGGGAGAGAAGGGTGAGTATCAGATGATCTGGAGGGGAAAGAAAGACTTGGTCTCCAATGTTGACAGGCAATGGACAGGAGACAAGTGTGTGGTCGAGGTAGATGGTGGTCAGCAAAGTTCCACAAGAGAGAACAGAGGTGGCAAAGTAATGGGGTGAGCAGATGGTCTGGGAGGGGAGAGCATTTAGGTGAAAGACCAGGAGTTAGAACTGGACATCCATACACGAGTTCAAAGGGTGAGATGAAGATAGGCCGCTTGGGGAGAGCTCATAGCCTGAAAGGAACCAGAGGTAGGAGTTTTACCCAGTCAAGATGAAGTTCCTGTGACAGCTTGACAAGAGTGGTTTTTAAAGAGCAGTTAGTTCTTTCTACCTTACCTGAAGATTGAGGGTGGTAGGGAATGTGAAAATGCCAGGGGATGTCTAGGGCCTTAGATAGAATTTGAGAAA